GTATGAGAGTGTGTATTTCGATCTTCTTTTCATTCACGTTCTCAAAGTACATGTTTTATATGAAATTAACTTCCATATTGCTTAATAGTTACTTCAATAGTAACCACTAACCATCATCAGCCTCCGAAAAAACTACATGTATACAATAACGAGATTATAAACAAATTAATTTGTTATTCTTCTATCATTATTATGTTGTTCAACGGTATAACAAATATAAAGGAGATAGTAGGCAGCATCATTTATTGTAATGTATCTCATAGAACAATAATCGAATGCATATAAACATATACTTCTATCGATATATTATATATTTATGTTTCAGATTCATTTTGAGTAATAATACAAAGACTATATAAACACAAACTTCTTTTGCGTTTTTCTCAAAGTTGATTTTTTTTCCGTAATGATGCAATTATGGACAAATTTTTTCTCAACACACTTCATTCTAGAAAAGCTGTATTTTTTTTTCCAAAGAAATCCTAAATTTTTCAGAAACTCATGTCTGGAAATTCTAGATTATTGAGTTTTCGATTATTCGGTAAGTAAAATAGGTTAAAAATTAAAAAAAAATCCCTTCCCTCATGCGAACTGGAAGGACCATAATTCGGAAAAAACAAGAACATAAGGTGTAGAAACTCAGGACAAAGGAACCTTTTTTTTTGTTTGAATTAAAAATAACACGAAGGATAAACAATAAATAGAATCAAATGTTTTTAATTCATCCTCATCTTCAGAATTTAAAAAAAAAACCTTTATTGTACTTAGTTATTCCATAATCAAATTACATGTGTTTATAGTTTAGTCAATTTATCGATCTCTCCTAAAAAACTTTATTTCTTCAAAACCAAGTCTGTTCTGAATTCCAACCATTATATCATATTAGAATTCGATTGTTTAACCAAAATTGTTAACTTATCTAACATATTGTCCAAAATATCTTCTCCAATCAAGTTGGTATAAAGACAAACCACAGTCGGAACATTCTTTAGGATAATTAGCAAGTTCTCTGTATACAATGGTGAATGCCTTGCTCAATATCGAGCAAGTAATACTCTAGAAAAGTCAAAAAAAAACTGAACAAGCTTTAACTACACTTTTTTTCGATTTTGAACAGGTTTTTTGGAAGAGAGCTTAGTTCTTCCTGGCTAAAAGCATTAGTGGCAACGCTATTTTCAAGTAAAAAGATGATGAAAAAATATGTCCTAAAATAGATCGAAGGAACCAATCTCCGGGTAATTTCCAATAGCAATTGAATTGTATTCTATATTTTAATCATACAAAGATTGCACTAACAGCTATTACTTAATACCATTCATCAATATACATCAGATCAAGTAGATAATGCTAATTTATGTGCTTATTTTAGTATTTATTAATAAAGATAATATAAACTATTTAGTATAGATAAATTTAGTTTAATTTTAATCCTACATGACAAATTATATATATCTATCATATTAATTCTTATATTAATAATAATTCTAATGACCTTAATTTCTAATTAACAAATCTTTTTCATTGATTAACTCTAATGTACTATTCATTTGACATAGCTAATATCTTATTTGATTGATATCTTTCATTAGCTATAAGCGAAAAAAAAAAAAAAAGGAAATCGACATGTATAATTTATCGTTCGTTTTTCCAATCAAATATCGAAGGATATTTTGTTAATACTCGAAAATGTAATTATTCAAGTGTCGAAGGTTACATCATTCACACATATATATATATATATATGTAACTGCGTGAAACCGCATCCAACTTACGATCGATCATTGCTGTCATCTACATATATGTATGTATATATCAAAATCAGTACATACAGGTATGATAATAATGATCATCATCATCATCATCATCATCACGTCTATGAATAAAACAAATTGACTTTTTTTTTTTTGGAATTTTTGTTTTTTTTTGTCGTTTCGCTGTTGAATTAATTGATCATTATATGAATTAATCTGTCTTTTATCAAGATGAATTTCATGGCTATTAATCTTTTACTTCTAATTGTTGTTTATATAAATCAATGTTTAGTTTCTAGTACTGTGAGAAATGACGTAAGTGATGTAATATAACCTTGTAAATATTGATGCTGAGTAGAATAACATTGATGCTATTAATTTACTTTTACATTTTATTTCTTATTTCTAAATAGATTACATATAATATTCATCAATATTAGTTTAATATGGAATCATATCAATATATCGGCTCAGACTACTTACTTACATTTTTCATTTATATATGTAGAAATGAAAAGACAGTATTATTTCATTTTCTCTTTTGATCACTGTCATCCACTCATTGAGATCAGACAAGATATATGTAAAAAAAAAAAAAATCTTTTCATCATTTAGATCATCGTATCATTTCTAATCGTGAGTGTACTTCGAACTGATTATTATACATGTAAAACAAGTATATGTATATATAGTTGATATATCCTATGCACGGTTGAACATATATATATATATATTGAAATAAATAATATATCCGATTTTTTGATCTCATACATACATACACACTATATATTAATGATGTAAGAAAAAAAAAAAGAAACTTCATGATAAGAATCATTTTTTTGTACTAAGCAAATGCTGTCAATCAATGTCCCTCATCTGTTTTTTGTCACTCTTTATCTTCTATTCATTCTTCTCTTTTTTTTTTTTCTAAATGTGTGTCATGTCTAATAATCAATAATATAAGAAGAGTATTTCAAATATATAGATATATATATGTACGATATTTAAAAAAAAAAGCAAAAGATGATGTATGTTCTTTTTCATTGTAGATCTTTTCTTTTCTTTTTTTTTTCAGTTAATAGAAATTGTATATACATATGTGTTTGACCAAAATTCTGTCATATTCTATTCTCAAGTGAATGTCTTATCTGTAATGTTCTGTCAGGTAATTCTAAACGATGTGTGTGTGTCTAGGTATGAGTGTGATTTGTGACAGTTTCGCTTCGCATACTTGAAAAAAATAATAGAAAGAGAATAAAAAAAAAATTGGTTTATGTGACGCAACACTCTTTTAAGAGCACGCAAAAGAGAGAGAAAGATAGTCTCTCATTTTATTCTTCTAATCTTAATGCAAGTGTACATATAAGAATAATAGTGATAATTTGTGTACATATGATTTTATTACATTTTAGAATCGATTGTTGACACAAACAAATCGATAATAATATGTTATATTTTATTCTAGTCGAATAACTTCGATGATGACCATTTTATTGATCATTATCTTTTTCTTTTGTTGTATACTTATACTATATAGAATTATTTAGCCTATGACCTTCTTACGCGAATGGATAGTGTATTATATGAATGACCAGAGGGAAGAGAGAATCGATTATATGCTTCAATGTTTATAACAGCTTCTCATGATTAATACAACAAGAGATAGTAATACTAACTTTTTTTTTTTTTTTTTTTTTTGTATTATTGAACGATACTATTCTCTTCTCAATAGAAAACTAGAGTAATTCTCAATAGTATGCTCGTTTAATTTCATCTCTATTTTGTATTCATCAAATTGACATGAGCACGCAAGCAATGATAGCTACTAGGTAATAATTGATGTCTTTTCGGTCAAGTGTTTCTTCTTTCAATAATAATTTACCTTTTGATTATACTTTTTTTTTTGTACATATCAAATGGTTATTATTGTTGAAAGATCAATAATTATTGAACTCTTTACTATGTAATTGATTCGTCTGGTTGTTTATGTACATTCTTTTTTTTTTCATTATAAATTTCTAGTCATATTTAGTATATAACAGTAAAGAAATATAATGTTAAGATTGTTTGTATCACACTCAATAAAAATGTCAAATATTGAATATTATTCTAATGAGAAAGTCATTCAAAATCTATGAAGGTTAATCTTTTTTGTATTGTTATATTCGCGTTACATTTCTTTTTTCTTTTTTCTTCTGTATGAGATGTTGATTGATGAAGATGAGGTTGTGCTCTGATACACCTGTCTGTCATTTTGTTTTTTTTCTTCGATAGATTGTTAAGTCTTTCGTTTCTTTTTTAGATAATGTTTCTATTACTATATTTTATTTTATTTATTTCTTCTATTAAAGCTTGTCCATTAAAAACAGTTGATATTCATTCAGGTTGTTATTGTGGTATAGAAATAGATGGTAAAAATTATATTCATTGTCATCCATATTCAATAAATAATATACCAGAATTTACACGTTCATATATATATGATAAATTAAATTTATCAAATAATTTTATTGAATATTTAACAAATAAATCATTTCATCAATTAAAAATACGACGTATTTATATTGAAAAAAATCCAATAAATTATATTGATAAACAAACATTTAATAATAATAATCTTCTTCATTATCTTGAAGAATTATATATTGAAACAATAAATAATAGTAGTTTAGAATTTCTTTGTTATGGTATATGGAAAAAACTTCGTATACTTAAATTATCAAGATTTAATTTAAATCAATATCAATATTGTTTTAATAAACTTAATCATCTTGAAAAATTAATTATACAATATTCATATATTCATATTATATCATATCATATATATAAACTTCCAATATTATATGAACTTTCATTGATTAATAATCATATTGAATATTTTAATTTTGATGATCAATATTTAATTTATTCATCATCAATACAAATATTAAATTTAACATCAAATCAACTTCAAACAATACCAAATGATTTAAATATACGTTTACCACATTTGATGACACTTGACCTTTCAAATAATCTAATTGAAAATTTACCTTTGATCAATGAAATAACAAAATTAAATGTAAATTTAAGTTATAATTTAATAAATTATGTTCATTTGAATGATAGTCAACATTTAATTGATCTTTCATTTAATCCAATATGTACAATAGAACAAACAAAAGATATATCAAATATAATAATGAATAATATAATTAATCTTCATTGTGATTGTCGTTTAGGTTATTTTCTTAAAAATAATTTAACAAATTTATCACAACAAATTGGAAATAATCAACCATTTGGAAATCAAACATTATGTGCTACACCACAAATATTTAAAGGTCAATTATTAAAAGATTTAACATATGAACAATTATTAACTACATGTTCATTAAATTTACCAAATAATTGTAAAGAAGTAACAAATTTTCAAGAAATTCAAGAATATATAGAAAATTTAATTAATATAACAATTATCGATAAGTATCAGCAGATTGAAAATTCAACACAAAGTAAGTAAAAATTAAAAATTCTGATATCAAAAGGTAATCTGATTTTATGCTAATGAAGCTATAAAAGGTCGTATGAATTGATTAATCAGATTGAGTACTACGCCATTTGAATCTTATCTTTTTTTTTTTCAAGGATGTTCTTTTTTTATTTCAAATGACTGCTTGTCTTTATCAAAAGATTTCTGCATGATAAGATGGTAAATCTATCACTCTATAAAGGTTTTGTTAAATAGATACAATATGCAAAATCATTTTATTCTGTACAGTTTAATATATTCATTGGATATTACATTCTCTTTTCGATTAGTTGCCGACTTGATTTAGTGTCACCGAGACTTATATGTAGTTATAATATGAAGATAAAGGATGTCTGACAGTTTCTGATATTGAACACAATTTTAATGTCCAAGTTTTTTTCATGCATTATCTTTCTAATAGATGATTTAGGAGCAATCGAAAAGAGTGTATTGTATCTGATAAAGATGCCGATGTTGATTGAGTTTATTTTTCACACATTGTACTATAATCAAATTTTGAATGAAACAAATTGCTTTGTAAAAATATCAAACTTAAACAATATTGATAACTAATAATAAGAGATATATAGAAATCTGATAGTCTCACAATGAACTAATCGGATTGAGAATACTATTTATACAAAATATGTAATCGAAAGTAAATTTTGCAAGTGGTTTGAAGAAATCATAACATTTTATTAAAAAATTTGTTAAAATGTTCGTAATCCAAAAAAACAAGATCCATAAGTATAGACGAAAAACGTTTGCAATACTAGAGTGAATTCAAAATTTTATATAAGAGTCACACCTGAAAATTTATCAGGAGAGAAGTCAAGCTTTTATTTGCTCTTTAGATGAAATATAGCTAGTGCTTCGTTTTAAAATATATGCAGGCGTTTTATGGTCAGTAAAGTGCAAGCTATGAAAATAGTGACTTTGTTCAGTTTTCAAACTATCTAATAGGTATATTTCTTACTTGTAAGGAATGATTTGCATTTCAAGTAATTGTCGATGCATGATTCAATATTGAAACAAAAATCAACCTTTTCCATAATCTATTTGACTAACAGAATATGATTACAAAACGCGAAAAATATCGACATTTGTACAAAAAATGTGATGCGTTGCTCAAATCTGTAAATTTAATAGAAGGAGAAATGAATTTTTGAGTCTAGTAGGAATTCTTTTAGACTTTCTCTGATCTCAATACTTCCTATGTAATAAGGTGAGATTTACCTCACCGTAAAACTCGCTACCACTAGCCATGGAATGACCTTAGATATGTTACTAATGATTGTACTATAAGAAATAAAATCAAAGGATGAAATATCAAGTGTTCATAAAACAAACTCATCTTCTTTCATTAAGAGTGTGGGTATGACTGAAAAGATGATCTACACCCTATATATATATATATTCGTAATTTCTAAACGTTTATTATTCTTTAACAAATTGATGATTAATAAATTAAGTTGATTTTTTTTTCTTATAGTAATTGAAATATCAGAAAAATTTAATAATAATCAAAATTCAATATCATCTTTTTATTTAACATCATTCAATACATATTATGAAAATAATGATTTATTAATTTTTTGGGATTTTGATACAAATTTATTAACAAATTATTTTCTAAAAACAAAATTTCAAATAATTATTGAACAAGAATATCCATCAAAAATTGAAATTATTCGACAAACTGATTTTATATCACCTTATCTTAAACAATATATTATTCATAATTTACCATCAAATCAAATATATCATATATGTTTATTAATAACACGTTTATCATATGGTACTGATAAATATTGTCGAGAAATAACAACAACAACAACAATATTAACATCTAATAAACAAACATTATTTATTAATCGTTCAATTATATTTGGTTTTCTTATTGGTACTATATTAACAATATGTTTTTTAATTATACTATCTTTTATTTGTCGTTTACATTATAAACAAAATCATTCTCATCATTTATTTCATCAACATAATGAACAAAAACATAATATGTATATGGATCGAAATAATAATGATAATGAAACATATACATATTCATTTGTATCTTCTCCATCAATAAAATATTATTATTTAAAAAATAATCCTTGTCAAACATGTATTAAACCTACATCATCTTGGCATTATCATAATTCAAAACAATTACCATGTATACAACCTTCATCTTATTGTTTATTAAAATATCATAATAGAACATTAAGTGATAGTATAACAATAAATCCTATAACAAGTTTATCATCAGAATATAGCAATGGTATTGATAAAGAACCAATAACATCAACATCAATTATGAGTAATACAAGTTTAGATGAACAATCAAGTCATATTATTCAATGTTCAACTAAACATGTTTATGAAGAACTTGGTGATACTAATTTATTTCTTTGATTATTATGTATCTTGTTTTTTTTTTTTTTTTTGTTCATTTGAAAAAATATTTCATTAGAAATTAATTGTATGATAATCTATTTTTTGTTTTCTCTTTCTTTATTAATTAATAAATGTCAAGTTAAATCTCTTTTTTTTTTTTTTGTGTAATATGATTTGAAAAAAAGTATTGAAATAGAAATTTGTAAACTTTTCTTCGTATAGATAATTATACAAAGTTTGATTGAAAATTAAAATAAACATTTTTGTAAATATTTTTCTTGATGTATAAAATTTAAAAAGAAATAACTGAAAGAATTGATTCTTTTATGATAAACTGCAATTTGAGAGTAGATGTGTCTTTTTTTACTGTCACACATTTTATATTCCATATGCTGATATTAATCGTGTAATAATGACATCTTTCAAAAAAAAATAATAAGTCTTCTTTACAAAATTTTACTTTTTATTTTTATAAAGCATTTTTTTGACTTTTTTATTCTCAACTGAAATTGAATTTACAGGTTAGAAACGGCTTATCAAATACATGACAGACATTCCTAACAACATCTCGACTTTATTACAGGTTTCTTAGCAACATTTGCATACGCTCACATTACAGATCGTATGTGTTTAATGTCTCATTGAATGTCTGAAAGATTAAGTTAAAAGAATGATAAAAAAAAATGTGTGTAAAACTATATAGAATAAAATAATCTACTCGTAATTAGCAACAGAAACTATATCGTGTGTTTTACATTTTAATCTCGCAGGAATTGTGTTAACAGCTAGTTTTTTTTAAAGCGCCCGGTAATAACTATTTGACAGAGCTATGTGTAAAAATTCTATTTTATTTCTATGTAGTGTATTAATCTTTTTTAATGTTTTCATTTATGTGAGAAAATCATTATATTTTCATGTAAATAATCGTGTCATTTAATTGGAATATGGAAACTTATTATAATTCTTTTGGTATTCAAAACTAGCTGTTTATGATTTTTTTTTTGTATTACTTTGATGTTTATCTTAAGATAATTTTATTTGACATGTGCTAATAAATTGTTGGTTGAAAGATTGTATTTAGTGTGTTGATAAGAAAGAAAAGTCGTCTACTAATCTAAATGCAATACTGTTAAATATAAATATTGATTAGGAAATTACAATTGTAAAAATAGACTGGATCACCTACATATGACAGGCTATGGCCTTCTACAGTGTGTCATCAGTTTTGGCTCACATATATTCTTTATTTTGTTGCTAAAGAACTCCGAGAAAGGAGTTTGATGTCTATTTTACTTAGTTAGTCTATTTAGATTTCTATGAAAAGCAGATTTGTAAAGTAAGGCCAGTCATTGCTGAATGACTACTTCTGTACAAATCAATCAGTAGTGTAACATATGCAGTGGTAAAATTTATTGCTGCAAAAAGGTCAATTCTTTTCGTTCAAACTTAATTATTGTGCCTGAAAAACAACTACTCATAATACTTCAATTAGAACTTTAAGAGAAATTTTGAACTCATATACGAAATCTTGATGTTTTTCAATACCTACAAACTTCTTCAAAATATTGAAAAATGAATCAACATCTTATAAAATTCCTTTTTTTGTTTTATTACGTGTTGAATTGAAATTGAACAACAAAACTCTTTTACAAATGAATAATAAAAAAAAAAAACGATGACTAATGCCATCTACGAATAAAACTTTTCTTTTCAAATACTTTCACAATTTATCTTTCTTTTCTTAAGCATTATATTATCAAGAGAATCAATTTTTCTTTCTATCATTATTTTCTATAAGTTCATATCTCTCTCTATAATTGGCACCGAGTTTAACAACACAGAACAAATCATAGATTTGTTAGGATCATTGCGGAGGCCACATTGGCCGCGTATTTGCATCGTTAATATTCAGTTACAGAAAACAAGTTTAATTATAATTTAAAATTATATACAATGGTCAAAAAGAAATTAAATAGATCTCTTTTTTCAACAATTAGTCAACAAATAAATAATAAATCATCAGCTGAATATCATCTTATTGATAGTGAATATTATATTGGATTTAATTCAATTGATGATATTCAACAATTTCATAATAAATTAATTGAAAAACAAACAAATTATAATAATGAAAAAGATAATAATCAACAATTTGAACAAGATAATAATGAAATAGATATGAAAACATTTGCACAAAAATATCTTATTGATTTACCTGAAACATTAATAAATAATAATAAAAATTTATTAAATATAAATCAAACAAATTATGAATTAAATACTAAAAGACAACGACGTAATATTAAAGATTTACCACAATCAAGTAATTTTTTATTTATGTCTGATGATGATAATGGTAATATATTCGATAGTTTAACAGAAAAAAAATCTTCATTACGTACAAATCGTATTGCATATGAAGATATGAGTTCAATACTTCTTACATTAGATGTTAAAAAATCAAAGAAAAAAAAATCTTTATCAAAAACAAAAAATCAACAAGAACCCATAATAGCTATTGAATTAGCTGAACCATCAATGATTAAAAATGAACCTATAGAACAAGAACAAGTTTGTTAATTGAATTTTATAAATAACAAAAAAAAAAAGGAATTTTCAATTCAACGTTTCTTTTTTTTAGCTTGTTATTACTCATGTTATTGAAACAAAAGAAGAACCTGTACAAATAAATGTAGAAATAAAATATTCTGATATATATATATTTTACATTTTGTTTTGTTTCTTTTTTCATAGGTTATTCCAACTGGTCCAATGTCTTTTGGAACATCAGAATAGTTAGTAATGATTAAAAAACAAAAATTTTAAAATTATGTTTTCTTTTTTTGTTTTTTAGTTCTCATGATTTAGATAATTATGTACAAAATATTCATCGATCATGTACAACAAATGTATCTATATCGCCATCATCATCATTATTACGACCAAAACGAATACGTAAACGAAAAAAATTCTATATTGAAGAAAGTGAAACAAATATTAAATCAAAACGTAAACGAAAAAAACCATCACATATAAATATTAATTCAACATTATTAACTGATGCAGAAATTGAACAACAATTTGGTGAACGTTTATCACCAACTATTAAATTAGAAAATCATAATGAAATACAACATAATATTAATAATCATATTATTATTGAAACTCAATCTATATCTGAAACACCTATTGAAAAAGCAAGAAAAAAATTAATAAATGCTTTAGGACGTAAGATTATATATTTACTAAATCATCAGATTATGATAAGAAAGACAAAAAAATTTTCTCAATATTATTATTTAAAAGGATCGTTTCTCGAAACCATAAGACCAACAGTTTGATAGTTAATTCATACGCTAAAATTCTACGAAAACAATTTTTATTCTAGTTCGATAATGTATAGACTTCGAATTAGATATAGATCAGATGATCCCATAAAAATTTATTGAGTAACAATCACTTTAATATTTCCTATCAGGAAATTTTTGGTGAATTAAAAAATGTGATAAATCTTGATATAAGTTTCATTAAGCACAAAAAACTAAGATCGAAGCCAAGAACAATTAGTTTTGTTTCTTACAATCGTAAACATTTTTCTATTTTCACTGAGTGCTATTTATAATCAAAATATGAATTTGAACGACATTTCGATATACTTTCCTGTAAGAGCTTTTTAGTTAAATTCAGAATGAAACATAAATTAGTCGAGAATGGATCAAAATATATATGATAAAAACTATCACCTTTCTTATGCAGTAGAAAATTTTCTGCATCGATAAACCTAAAGTCAATATTAAAATATTCGATTATTATCTACAATAAACATAAATTTTTTTTTAGGTGGTCATGATCCTGATACATTTTTATTAAAAATTCGTTCACGTGAAAATAAAATATTCGAAATTGAATTAGCTATATATAGTACAACTGATTGGTATTCATCTCGTTCAAAAATTTTATCAAAAGTTGAAGAGGTTAATTAAATAAATTTTTTTTTTTTTTTAAATTAAATTATTTATTTAAGGCACTTCGTGGTCTTCGTGTTAGTTGGACAAAAATTGATATTCGTGTTGATTATTTTGATGTACAAATATGTACATCATCTCAAACTACTTCTATATCAACATTATCAACAAATATGAATTCATCATGGTTTTTAAAAGTATTAAGTGAATCTGGACCATTAATTGTTCATATACATGATAGACGACATCCTCAACAACGACATTTTATTAAATGTTTATGTTCTCAATGTTCATCACATGAACAAATAAATGAGTAAATTATTTTTATAAAAAAAAAAAAACAAAATCAAATATAAATATATTTTTTTAGTTCATCATTACCAATTATTGTTAGTGTTTCTCCTGTTAAATTAATATCTAATCGTTATCTATCATCTCCAACTATTCTACGTAAAACTTCTCAAATATTTAATTCAACTATAATATCTTCATTATATAATATTCATACAAAATTTTTTCAAGATCTTATTTATCAATATGGTACAAATACAATTAGTTCTATAACACAATGTATATTTGATTTAACACTTATTGTTAGTGTTCATTCATCATTATCATATTTTAATACAACAAATGATGATTATGAAAAAATTTATCAACATATTATTGATCCACTTAAATATACAATGAATTTAAATGAAAATATGATACGTAAAAAATATTTTATTCAACCAGATATTTTAATATTCTATCAAACAATTAAAAAAAATAAAGCAAATATAAGAAATGCACAATGTAAAAAAACAAAAAAATTATTATTTTATTATTAATTCTAAATTTGTTTTTTTTTATCTTTTATAGCAATGAAAAATATAATTTTTAATACAATTTTACAAACATCAAATGTAATTAAAACAACAGAATTAATTCTACCAAAACAAACAATAAATCGTCGTTCTCTTATAATGAATCGTTGTAATAAACGTCAAAGAAATCAAATATTAAATAATTCAAATTATAATGGAGTGAAACAACAAGCACATTTTACACCAATTATTGAACTTAAACCAATTTTAGGTGGATCAACATCCATTGATGAATGTGATAATGATGAACCAATTAGAAAAGTCACAAAAATTATATCAACAAATACAATACAAAAAGATTCACAACGTATCAATACTATTGTAAGTCAAAATATTCATGTAACCTATATGTAAAACTTCAGCAGAAAATATTCATTCAATTTTTTGAACATTTTATCCTTACTAAAAGACAAAAAAAAAAGTAATGAATTATAATTAAAATTTTCTCTTGACTTCATATTACTTAGCTATAAGCAAATGTCTAAATGAGACAAATTTCTTTTCATTTAAAACGATCTTGTTTTTTTTTTGAGTAATATTTTAGAATAATTTTAAGTGTCTATCATGTGATATCTAAATAGTCAAAACTTGAATAAATATTGTGTTGAAACAAAACAAAAGAAATTTACATGTAGATTATTTTTATTTTAAAATCTTATCTTTAGACAACACGAGAGATTACTCCTCGTGTAATTCGTTTATCAATTAATAAACCTCCGTCATTACCTACGAATTCGATTCGATTAGTAACATCAACAACTTCACATCCGATTGCATCTGTCGATAAAATTGAAACATCACCATTAGTACCTAAACAGATTAATATCATCAAACCGTTATCATCATCAATTACTCCAGCTATTAAACTTGCTAATCCAATACTTATTTCTAATAAATCTCAGCAGCCATCGATGAACTAACGTAATTTGTTTATGATTGGAAACTCCTTTTTTTTTAATTGAAAAGTTGTCTGTATATTAATTGTTATGAAAGATTTTGCATCTTTATTTTTTTGAAAAAAAGAAAGTGGAAGAATTCTTAATTGAATGTTTTGTTTTCTATTTGCTACAAAATCGATAATTCTTTAGAAATCAATTAAACAATGAACAAAACAATACCATATACTTCAAATCCGTGACACACATAGAAAGAAAAGTGTCTTGTTTCTTCTCGATATTAGATATGATTTCAGACTAAATAAATATCATTTCTTTTGTCAAATAAGAGTTGGTAGTTTCTTTTTTTATTTTATTTATATTCACTTGTTAACAAAAAAAGCATTTGTATGTCTTCCTTCCAGACACATTTATTGCGGTACTGTAGTGGCAGCTTATTCTTTTGAAGACTATTTTAGTGTCTATCATTATTACACTCTGAGACTCAATAAATCTCATAAATTAGTAAGAATAGTTCTTGTTCAGTATATGAGTTTCAATGAATATTCAATGATGGAAATTCATAGAAGAAAAAGATCTAATACTAATCATGCATTGAATGTAACTCTAGATTTTATTGCATTGTAAAAAGGAAGAGAAAGAAAATATTGTTTTAATAAGGAGCGAAATATTTGAATTCTAAGATTAGTCTAAATGAAAAGCCAGTTTTAAGTATATCTAAAGATATTCTTAATTGTTAACATCATGATGCTTTCAGTGTTTTCTGTTGAGTAAAGAAGTAGATAATTTTTGTAGGATTTTACTATAGTGTGATAACGAACATCGATTACGAAAAACTTCATCAACTAAGTGTGAAAAATTTCTATTCGAGAAATAACTGCATTGATGTTATTCATGCTTTTAAAATTATTTTGAAGGAATATTTGTTTATTTGTTCCTTAACTTGAAGCTTTAATTTAGTTATAAAATATTTAAATCTTGAAAAATAAGTATTTAACCACAGAACTTTTCAGTTCATCAGAGTTGATACGAATAATTCATTTTGCCTCATGAATTCCATCTTATCAGATTAATTAAACCTGTTAGTATGAATACAAGAAAAATCTTTTGTTTCTATATTTGAATTAGTAATTTAACAAGGAAACAGACTGACTTAAATCTATGTGTAAATATCAATCAATAGTGAAATAAATTCGGTTTTTGTTTCTACAGTTTTTCATAAAGAATCAAGACTTTACTAAATAAAGGAAACACTAGAAGAATTACCATGAGCGATGACGATGATAAATCATTCATTTTTCAGTGAGTATCCTTATGAAATGGTTTGGTATCTAACTGAAAGTAAGGTATGAGTATGGATGTGATTAGGATATCGCTTAGTATGAAGTGAGCTTTTCAAGCTAAGACAATAATTTTTCCTGCATAGTAATGAACAAAGTAAACCAAAACATAATTTCAAAAAAATCATATGAAAAGAGGATAGAAAGAGAAAACTAGAAGAATTCATTGCCCTCTGACATTCCGTTATTGGTTTTGAAACTTGTGCAGATTTACTGTTTACGATTGTTTTAGGTTGATATTTTTTTTTAGAAATTATTATCTGCACATATTCGATAGCTTGTATCTAAACCCGTCGATTGACATTCATTTTAATAGGAATTAAAAGTTACCAAGAGGGAAAATCGTCTACAAAAGAATTTTAATGGAGGAATATTTTGCTAGTGTTTTTTTTTTGTTTTTAGAAGAATGAAATTGATATTTGCTCATTGTTTTCCTGTTCTATGCTGAAGCTTTAGATGAGATAATGTTTTTTTTTCTCTTCGGTTTAGTCACGTACATCATACATCAGCAGATTTAGTTGTTTTATTTTGCTTTTGTTAATATGTTCTAAACTTTTTACATACAACAATCCTCGAAATTAAGTGTGAAAGCATAGGCAGCATTCGATTTTTAGACAATATAGCTACAATCAATATGATAAGCTGTTGCACTTGTTCAGATCTTTAGTTTGAGATCTGACTAGATATATATCTTTAGTCAATGTTGATTATTTTGATTCAATTACTGTTTGACACAACTCGTGATAGTAACATGATCTTAGTTAAATGACAAACATAACTTGATACATCAACGAAGAATATTCACTCATTAACATTTTGAGAATACTGTCAAGTCATAATGACAGATTTTCAGACATATAATTTCATTCTATATGGAATGTCATTTGGAGTTCTTTTTATCGAAATATTCATAGTACTTTTATTACCAAATCGATTATTAGCAAATTTGATTGAAAAATCATTTGCTATTATTCGATCTGATAACGAACAATTGATGATGAATTTTTATGGTATCGAAATTAATTTTCTAACCTCACGACGTTTTCGTCTATCTCTCGCTTTTCAATTGGTAGCCATAGTATGGATCATTTTGCTTTTATTCATCGATGGATGGATCTTTCAAGTACGACGATTATTTGAAGGCGATATTTGTCCACGACAGAGAAGTGATTGTTTTATTATCAAAAATATGGTTTCAAGGGTAAGCATTGGTTGTGAGCCTGGTGAAACGTTAACGAATTCAACATCGTCGAGGATCATCTGTTTGGTTTGGGTCTATAAGGAAGTAAATGCTGCAGCTATGCTCAATCAAATAGGCATCGGCTCTTGTGTTTTCTCTCTTCTATGCCATGCTTTCAAATGGTTTAGTTGCTTGTCACGTAAATGGTTAGGTTTGATTTTGATTATTTTATTTGCTCTCGGCGGAATAACAGTGGTCATTTTGATCTATACTGCAATAATTTATATTTCAATGACTGGAATATTACTGCTAATAGGATTTTGTGGTCTACTTATAAATGTTATTCAACTGTTTCAATTTACCTATCATTATCAGCGCAAAACTCAGCCGCAAACGAACTCAATAAAGTTGAATTAATTATTATTGTAATGAATTCCAAATCTATGTAAATATAATCACATGTCCATTTAAGTTTTAAGGAACAATAAAAACATCGACAATAAACGAACATGATTATTAGCTTTCTTGATGAACCTTTTTAATGTCAAAAAAAACCATACAGCACTAACGTATAGAAAAGAAGTATCATATATGGTAACGAAATTTATAACAAAGGAGAAAACAAATTGAAATGATAATTTCTTTGCATGTATGAACGACTATTTTCTATTGTTTTCTGTCATTTATTTCTAGTTACAGTTCTCATTGAAGCTGTACATCGAATTATTTGTGTGAATACATGTTCCAGGCTATTGTGCTACATCACTTAAATAAGATCTATTAATGTTGAAAATTAGCAGAGTAGATACTGACGTGATAAAACTGAACATATTCAGAAAGAGTATTAGATATGCGCTTAGTAATCAGAAAATGGTCTGCATTTGTTTTATTTACGTACTCTATTAAACGAGTACATTTCCTAGGATCGCAATTTTAGAGATGCATTGATTCTAGTATCCAAGTAATTTGTGACTTGGTGCATTACAATCGGTCTCACTGCTATTTCTGTTCTAGCTCACTACGCTTGATCATTGCGCGAATGTTTAGGTCAAATAACACGACATGAAAAAAAATTGATCATCATCCAGTGAATCATTATTGAACAAAAGCTATACAATATTTATTGAATGTCGACTATAAGACGAGAATATTAATATTAACATATTATTTAAATTCTTATATATATATCATAAGTTTATTGAGTTTTAAGCAAGAAGAAAAAACATGTTTAACATTTCAATAATCACTTAATATTTGTTAATAATGAATTAAAACTTTTTTCCCAAAACAAAAACACTGGAAAGCTCAATATAGTTCTAATATTGTTACAAAACAGATATGTCCAAAGAAAATATTTGTTAACAGCTACTATTTCTTCTCAGAGAAATGTTCAACTCTTTTTCGAAGTCGAAGGTTGTACATGGTTGGTTATCTATGCTGACGGAAGAAAAAGGGCGAAACTAAGTGAAGCTATGACTTCTTGTTTGGCATTTGTAATATAATATAATATGAATTTATGTTCGACGACTTCGTTGTACATGATTCGTTGCGTCCAACATTCTTGTTCTAGAAGTTGATGTTCTACATCCAAATATTGATCTTACCGTTTGTCGGAACAAAATACCACCAGTGAAAAGATAGACATAGAATGAGAATGAACAATCGAATGTTGTTATGATCCATGCAATTTGATCCCACAATGTATCCTGTCTCGAACGTAGAGGACTTTTGATATCATCAAATGTAATCACCACATTAATACGTTGCACTGCATGAGGTATCCATGAGATGAAAATCATTGCAACTTGTCCAATCAACATCTTGTAATAACGAAAAATGATTATTGTATATCACTTCGGAATGTTTCTTACCTGAATAAGTTGTCGATCGGTTTTTCTTAGTCGATGATATGAATGACTATTCTGTATTGTTGCTATACCAACAGCAACTCGAACCTTTTTCAAATGTCGAATAGTACCCACACCAAATACAAATATTATACAACCAGGAATGATTGCTGCTGTCATTACTCGTGATAATTCATTATAGAAACCACATATTCGTGTTGTGATTGATGTACATAATGATGCTGGTGGAGTTCCTTTTATATTAGCGCAATAGAATAAATTTGAATAATTGATACATAATAGAAATGTGACAATGCCTATCAATCGATACGCATTGGTAAACGAACTGAAATGACGATAGTTAGCCGATGGACTACTTATTAGAAATCGATCAAAAGTTGCTAAAACCATCATCCAGACTGATAAACTTGAAGAAGTATAGAAAATAAAATGACGTACTTTACATAAAGAACTGATTTGAGCAGAAAAATCCAGATTATACGTAGAGAGTGCTCGTGACAAGACTGCACAGACAGTCCATAGAATGTTGAAGCATGCAGCAAATAGAAGATAGATTGAACATGGACTGGCACGAAGTTTTCGTTGACTAAAGACAATAATATTGAGTGTATTACCAATTAGACTGAGTATGACCATACTGAAAAGTATGTAACGAGTGGTTAGTTGTCCAATAATAGTAAGTTGAGCAATTAGCTCGATGTCAGGAGACACTGTTGTATTCATTGAGTAATCAATAAGGCTATAAGTATGCTATTCAATATACAGAATATGAGACATAATTAAGAATGATCATTATTATGTTCTCTCTTGACAATTTATAAATGAAGATTACGAATCAGTATGAGAGGCTGAGAATTAGTTGCTAACTAGATCAATGGCAAAACAAAATAGGATAATACTAATAGCGTCATCAGTGTGTTTAACCTAAAAATATATATAAAAAAAAATAATCTCGCATGTTTTTTGTTCTTGTCGAACCCATGAACAGACGCTTAAGGGGAATTCAAAAGGACGAGAGCAGTGAACAAACAAAAGGAAAATAACTAAAGATTCTCCGAAATCGTACCATTCTCCAATGAAAACTGTCAACGCTGAACATTATACGTGAAAATATCCGTTCATCTCTCCCAGCGACTACGATCTATGTTCTTGCTAACGGTAAAAATCAATGGAAATCACCTATTCCTCATAGGCATTCTTTGAATTTTACTCACAATCTTCCGATGATGTTTCATCAGAGGTACAAGAACAACCGATAGTTTCATTGATTGCTATCTCTAGAAGACAAATACTGACTGAAATCCCTTGAATGGGTAAACAAAGAAAGGTATCTTACTGTATTTCAGCAATTTGAGCGAAAAATACATGGGTTTATGAATTCCCGCCCGTTTATATCTATTTGAATACGATTAGGTACAACGACTGTTCTAGCTAAAAGTAGCTGTGAAAATACCTTATGAATTGTTCCCATATACGTTTACTTTTCTAAAGTCACTCTCTTCTCTAGCTATGATATTTGAAACAAAATTATACACAACTTTCTTGAGAATGAGTACTGCTCTAAGAAGTAATTTATCTATTCGCTGCTACCAAGAAACATGAAAAAGAAAAGAACAGTTATTGTGTGGATTCTACACAGTAACGAAGCATTTTTTTTTAAAAGAATATTCTATTCTATCTATCGCTAATAAAAATAGCCTAAGCCTTATTGCAAAAAGAAACAGTGCAGATGCGCAAAGAATGACATGATTAATAAAAGAAATCCTTCGTCTTATTAAGTCTACTTTATTATTGCAATTCATTGTCAAAAAAGTCATATTCGAAGAGTATGACACACGTAAATGTAATTCCAGCTATAAACTAGTAAAGAGAATGCTTGAAAGTTCTAAGATAGAAAATCATGCAGTAATAAAATAATTAATCAAATGTTTTTAATTTTTCTGCAGAATGAACAATTAATAAAGAATGATCGACAAAGTTGAATAAAATTCAAAACTAGTATGTAGTAGTAATACTATAAGATGAGAAAACAATTCTTCATGCACTTAATTTAATAGATTTACTGATGTTCAAATTTTATACGTGCTTCTTGAATGCTTAGCCTTTTTTTTTTACAACCTGCGCCAATTTTATGCCTACTATCGAACATCGTATTTGTAACGAAGAGTGTTCTTTATTTAAACAAGGTTTTATATTAATAGATAGATTGTCAACAATGATGCGACCAGTAGATAATATCACTTGAAACACTATTACAAGAGAAGAAAACTTTAGAAAAATACGCATAGTTTACCTTTACGTATCTAGTCATTATAAAACTGAAGATCAATGCACCGAAATCTTCAAACTTACATCACCTTAAACTATGTTATTAACTGTTCAGAACACAATTAGAAAAGTCATAGTGACCTGGAGCTGATAGAAAAGAAAATAATGAGCACTATCAAGAAACCAATACATTGAGTGAAACCATTTTTCTACTATCTTCTTTGACATGAAGAAAACCGAGAGTAGACAGTCTGTGCTCAAATAGAATCATTCTCTGGAAGTAATATTTTTATAAGCAATAAATGTCATAAACTCAGTATATAGTACACAAATAGTAGCTCTTTTCTTCGAATGTTGTGATATAAATTTGTGATATAAATTTCCTCTCCACCCTAGCGATATACTTATTTTTAATGAACATCCAGCTACTTATTTATTTTCAATCTTTCTAAGCAGATTTCTATTTAATCTCAAGCATTATTGAAAGATTACCAGCACTTTATAATGAATATTTCCACCTATGTAATAAACTGTCAAGTATTTATCTTTTGTCAATGTTTCTAATTGACTTGCTATTTAATCATAAACATTGATTCATAAATATTTATAGCTTTTAAAATATTACTTAGCAATTAAATAAGAAAAGTGAATATCATATGAAATATTTTTTTTAGTTGAAATTAAATAATGATTGTTTGAATTGAGTCGAAAGAATATAAATTATAAGATAATTCTAACATAATGTCTTAATAAAATTTTGAATAATATGAAATGAGAATATTTAAAGAACAGAAAAATAAATAATAAAATATTGTACGCAGTATATTTGCCATTATTTTCTTGTTGAATAACAAAGATTATTAGTTTGAAATAATTAGTTTCTTTCTTGTTGAAAATATATATTTCTATTAATTAGCATACAAAAAAACAATAAATTGATAATAGACATACAAGTATAAAGTAGTAAAATTTATTAAAAAGAGATTAAAGTAAAACATAACACAAAAAATATATAAGAGACATTCATCATTAGTATAAAAGAACGAAATGAATAGAAATCATTACATTACTGCATCAACTCTTTAATTCAGACATCATCGATATTTTAGTGCTAGATTCAGCTTTTCCTTGTATAGCATCCTGTTGTTTTCTGAATACAATTAAAGCTTCTCGAGCGATATGTTGAATATGTTGAGTTTTAAAATGAAACGGAAAGAATTGTAGAATAATAATAGTATTACAAAGAAAAGCAGAAATTACTTCGGCAATAAGAGAAATCGTTTTATAGATGGGATCTTCATGGTTTAAATAGATCCATTCAGTTGCCACTGCTACTGTAACAGTCGTCACAAATAAATACAATGCAGATTTGATCCAAACACCTTGAAAACGATGATAAGAATCTGCAAAAAAATCGAACAGAAGAAAATAAGCAATAGTATGTCGTGTCAATGATGTATATTTGACCTTCCAATAGGCTGGTATGTATATGGTAAGAATAACTTCCAATCGAGACATAAAATGAAATACATGTTTATTTTCTACGACAATATTCGATTCGAAATTATTCAGAACTCGACAATAGAGAAGACCAATAGTAAGATATATTTGAAGAATAAGAAAAGCAAAATAGATTATGATTCTGAATGTTTCACCTTTCTGAATATAGAAAATCAAATAGCCGAGATTAGCTATTTCTGTGATTATCCATAATAGAATATGATAGATAGCCAATAATCGTCGAGATTGAATTGGTGCACAATATTGAAGATAGATGAATACAATAACAATAGTAGACATAAGTCCTTCGTAGTTGCGTGAATCTGGATGGTAAACATAGTGATGCCAAGCATCGAATACATAACAGCCCGATGAAATAAATGGAACGATGATCATAGCATAGAGAAAGAAACGATCTCGTCCATCTTCAGCATTGTTCAAATCGAAACATCCCATTTTTTCTGTGCACTCAATCTTTAATCAAGTAAAATATGCTGCTTGTTGAGTCAATGAAAAATAACTGAGTTTGTCAACAGAAGATCATTTTACATTGATTTAGGATGTGTGATTCATTGAAAAAAAAATCTAAATGAGTATGATGTTGTTCTTCGTTTTATTAGTCTCCTTTTTCATGCCAACTCCTACGTATCAATGTCCTAATGGGTTTTTTTTTGATCAAACAATTCATTGAGGGTGAAGTGAATACATACTGGAGAAAGGAATCATATTTTTGTAATGAAATAGAATATTGTTTAAATTCATTTCAGTGATCCTCTTATCAAGTATTTGGTATCACATCATAGCAGCAACGATGTACTTGAAGTGCGTTTTTTTGCCGCTGTTATCTCAATGCAAAGATCAAAATTGATGATCAATGTTAAAAGCATTCAGTATTCTTCATTAAGATCGACTCTCTATATATACTTAATTTACAACAATAGATTAAATCTATGATAGAAGTCAATTATTAAAATTTTTCACTATAGAACTCGTACTATCTACCATAGAACATGTCCAAGATCTATATTTATACTCATCACCCTAAGTAGAACCTCACTTATATCAAGACATGTAATGTGAACCATAAGTCTAGAGAATTTTTGATTTGAGTGTAGATATGGTTGTGTTGTTCTTCACTTTGTTCGCATCCATACTTACACGTCATGTGGGTATGAGACTGCTTCGTGTATGCATGGACTTCTGACCAACCACTAGGATGACTCCTGGCCGCACACGCGTGAAAATAGAATAGGAATGAAATTCATTCTTGTTTGAATAGCCATCTCTTTTTTATTCAACACTATTCATTTGATAGATAAACTAAAAGAAACATAACCATAACAATTAATGTCATAGTTTGGAAAAACGTTGAACTCGATGATTTCCCCAATCGACGACATACAGATTGCCATGCCGATCAAAGGATAAACCCATGGGATTCCACAACTGATTTGCTCCTTTTCCACAACCATTTTCACTCACAATGATAGTGCCTCGTATTGCACCTTTAGGCCAACGAATCACTCTATGATTTCCCCCATCTGCCACATAGATGGTATTCAACATATCGACGAACAATCCTGTAGGACTCGACAACTGTTTCAGAGTCTTTCCTTGACCATGACCCCCAGCGACGACAGTCCCTTCTGTTGCATCCTTATCCCATTTCATCACACGATGGTTCTTCCAATCAGACACATAGACCGCCTGTTGTCGATCGACAAAGATGTAGGTCGGAGAGTTGAGTTGGTTAAGATCATCACCTTTGCCGTGGCCTCCAGCCACGACAGTTCCATCTTTGTCTTCTATTCCATATCTTCTTACTTCATGTTTGTCGGTATCAGAGATGTAGAGATATCTCTGATCATCCATGGCTAATCCCCAGCAATGGATGTTGTTAAGGAGAATTTCTCCTTGAGTTGTTTTACTTTGATGACACCATCGTAAGACTCGTTGATTTCCGTTATCACAAACAATGAGACTATCCGTGTTTTTGTCGATCAGCACATCAGTTGGACCATACAACTGATCCAATCTATGTTTTTCGTCACGGTTACCAACTACTACTCGTGGGTCTGCATCCCCCAATTTCCATTGAATGATACGATTATTATAGGAGTCAGCGATGACCACTGTTTGATCATCAGCAACGAAGAGACCACGAGGACTCTCCAATTGATTGATGGTATTGCCAAGTCCGTGGCCTCCAACAATGGTTACTCCATTCAATGCCCATCGAGTATTGAGAGGAATATTGGGAATCACTAGAATACACAAAAAAAAGAAAAGAAACCGTCATTGTTGTTCAACCAAGCCCACTTTCTCTTAGGAAAGAGTTACGAATGACACACTCTTCCTCTGAGGAACTCAGTAAAATTTTCGAGCATGCCTTTGAATGTGTATGGAGCATCCTTTCGTAATATAGTCCAAACAAAAAAAAAAAACTTCTTCTTGTGGATATAAAATTGACTCTATTCTTAGAACCGTTCCTTAAATGAATGTAAATGAATACATGAAACGCAAGAATCCGTATGTAGACAAGAGCTCGTAGAAATTCAGAGAAATAGAAAAAGCTGTGAAACGCAATCAGCTATTATACCGATATGATCGTAAGAAATTCAAGTCTCTTAGAGCACTCAAACTATCAATAAAACTACTAGAAGTAACATAGTAAAAAAAAGTAAGTTAAAAAAGTAAAGCATTCACAGGAACCGACGCATAAGCACTGATATAAAAAAATATCATTTAAAAGACAGAAACAGATAATTTACCAATGAGCTCTTTTCATTTTCTATTCTTAAGCTTATACAGATGTTCGTTGCTCATCACATATATGTTACTATGTATAGTTTCACATATAACATGTGAAGGTAGTTTATCTTAAGTACGTTAATGATGAGGTTACGCACCCTATTGAGTTAAGTTTGTTGGTTTCTAATCATAAGTTCATATTTTCTAACCTCCAGAGAGCAAAAAACATAAACAGCTTATTCATTAACGGATGACATCAGAATGATAACAAAATCATATTTTTTTTGCTAATCGTTATTTGATCTTCAACCAGCCTATGAGCTTCTAGGAGTTTCATTCACTCTTAAAACTCATTTTTAAGAATTATTCGATCTACGATACGAAAAATTCAATAGATCACTTTGTCTGCCCCACTCCAAACAATCTGAGAGCACTCAATTTCCTTAAAACATAGAATCTTTGCATTTTTTTATTTCGAAAAGTGATTATAGGGTCTAAGAATTGCTTCTATGTGGTCAGTAGATCTGACGAATGATCGCAGTTTTATTCACATAACTCTCACCTTCATTAATCATACTCACTTGCAAGACGACAACCAATGATATCCTACCTTTATTTGGTGGAGCGTTGGATTCCATGACGGATATCTAAAGTATGAGATATTTAATACACATTCATTTTCTACAGTAGTCATCGTGTGATTTTTTCGATAGTAGAGCTAACCTGGGGTTTCAAGATAGTGGAGACTGCCGGTGCAACTGTATTTGCCTATCAACAGAAGAAGATAGATACAGAATTTTAAAAAAAACTAAGACATTGTTTGAGTTACTTCAAGCGTGTTGGAACGTGTCCTTCTTATTGTTATAGTTACGTCTTCAGCAGTTGTTGTCGGGGCATCTGCAATACAACACAATCATTTATTTCTTAATAACGTTTTTTATTCCATTCTTGATAAGATTTAATATATATCTACTATTTAATGACTTACTCGAAGCAGAGATGAGCGTAATCGGTAGAAACAGAATAAATGAAGGTTTCTTTCAGGGTGAATGTTCTAGCATGAGGAAACATCATAAAAATACGGTTAGTCAGGGATGTGAGGATTTGGTGTGAAGATGTTAAATCTTCTCTTTACTCTCACTCTTACCTATCCTCATCTTGTCAAAACTACTTGATCGAGATGTATGTAATTCTTATTGACTTTTTTTCTCAAAGTTTGTTTAATAGCTGACAAAATCGAAGTTTTTCTGTTTACATCAATGAAAGCAAGCAAATATGTGAAACATACAGTTGTATATAATATTTTCCATCATTGTCATTCAATATCAGGGCTAATTCAGTCATTTATTCGGAATCAACGCATAAAAGCTACACCTAATCATAGATATATATTTCTGCAAAAAAACATATATAGCTCTCTCAGTAATGAGTTTGCTGAGTATGACCTGTAATCCACTATATGCTGTTTATATCGATCTTAACTAAAACTATGGTGACAAAAGTGGCGAAATATTAACTCATCTTTAAAATTTTTGTCATTGAAATTCAAAAAAGCGAGTTTTTTAATAGTCATATACAAAACTAAAAAAAGACCTATATAGATATATCTGGAGTTCGAGATACAAGGGTTCCATATAGAAAAGACACTGAGTTTCAACTCTTCACATAAGAGACTAGATAAATTTATAAAAATGCCTATTGACATAAGCTCTAAGATGCATAAATCGCTGGGCAACATTCTTATCACGAATGAATGTATCTGTTTGACTCTGCTTGTGTTTTCGTGATAAACGTGGAGCTTCTCGTCCTTCTGATGGATATCTATATCCATTCGCTAGTTTAGCGATCATTCTCTAAGATTTGTAATCTATCAGCTGGGTGCCATGGATCAACATGACTACTACGGACGAGTTCTGTTCATCAATGAAAGCTCTTGGCAAAAACTCTTTCTCGGCTTTACTAATCAAATGGGTCACATGCCATTTTTTAATGGCAACTATATAAGATCTATTTATCCACATAGGTCTGTGCACTGTGTCAAAGGCTCTAACATCAATCCTCTCATGCAGTTTGCAGTCGTATCGACTATTTGACTAAAGTCATTTCATTTATCTAAATATCAAATATATATGCAGCAATTCTAGCAGAATTCACAATTTGAATATTGGTTTTAAAAGATCGTAGAAAATTTTAGACTCTCATGTTGAAGTGCCTTTTCAAATTTTCAAAAAAAAAACACTCTTGTGATATAGCATCATCCTCTAGATAACGCGTGCATTTTTCAGATTCGACCAAAACACTATAACACCATAAAATGCTAAAAGTGCAATTCGAAAATTCACATACATCCATTTTTGATTGTATCGTAGTGAGTAAACCGTTTAGTAGGAATGTTTCAAGCAGAGAGAAATAAATTTATAGGCAATTCTATCTTGCCTCTATTTGGAAGCAAAACTTTTACGACTTTAGATTTTCCATCGTTAGCGCATTCACAAAGTTTTTCAAACTAAATGTCTAACACAAAGAATTTATGACAACTAGAACGTATGGGTACACGAAAGAAATACGTATACTTATACACATACTCCGTTATACATATCATTTTTTTTTCATGTGTGATTGAAATTTCTTTGAAAATAGGAATTAGAACTACCAGAATTTACCGCAAAATTTACCACATAAAAGTAAGTTCTTTGGTAGATATC